GGTAGCGGCGTGAAGTGAAGTTGTCGTACAGGTCGGCGCTGCGCAGGAAGGAAGTCCTCGCCCGATTCCAGTGACCCAGTTGCGTACTGACAGCATCATTCGCGTCGGCACCATGGTGCTCACGTCCACGTCCAGTACAACACCACATCCGGAACGACGGCGAACTCGAACACGTCGTTGACCAACGGGGCGATACTCCCCGAACTCGCGCCGCGCTATGATCGAAAAGATGTACCTATCGACCAGGGCCACCATGCCGACCGAAGCGCCGGAACAATGTCCAGCCGGTCCCAGAAGTCGGTGGCGTAAACAGGTTCAGTGTCAGCGGTCAGGGTATTCCCACCGCATCGCCGGTCGATCCACCGCGCGGCCAACTCCGACCGCCGTAACCGTGGACGAGCACTGCGTACCCTTCCGCTTCCAGCCACATCCCTGAGCATCGCTATCTGGGGTAGATCGTCCTACACCGTCTGTGCCCTCCACCACGATCAGACGGCCCGCGTGGCTTCATCTCCCGCTCCGGCGGGGTGTGAACGTAGAACCTGACGTTGTCCATCGTGGTCGCTCCTTGGTTTCACTTGATAAATGCGGCGTTAGCGCCGGTCGTATCCCGACTGCGAACTCGCCTGCTAACCATCCGACTTGCGGCGGCGGCCACGCTTCCTGCTCGGTCAGGCGCGGCGCATCGGCGATGTGACGTACCGCCCGGTCAGACCGTGTCGACCAGCGCCTCCGGAACGCTCTGCCCCCGGAGATCCTGGCTCCTTCGAGCAGGGGTTCCACTTACCGTCTCCCTGCTGCTGCTGCACGGCGATGGCTGCGTGGCGTCGATGGTCATCAGTCCCAAATTCCTCGGTCAGCGAGTCGTACTCTTCGAGGAGCTTGCCTGGAACATCCGGAAAGATTCCTCGCGGTCATTGGAAAATCCCATGTCCTGGCAGATTCGTAATAGCCCAACTCCTCACGGCCCACCGTGAGTCGATGGATCGAGACATCCAGCGGCACCTTGAAATACAGCGCCAACGAGGGCTGACCGCAAACGAATACACTCGGCGCAGCCATTCCCGGTTCACGCCACGAGCCGCGTCGCGGGCAAAGGCGGTGAACACATAACGGTCAGCCAGCACGGGGCGCCCGCCCGCAGGGCGGGAATAATCTGAGCGTGCACCCGGTTGGCGAGTCGGCCGCGTGAATCAGGCTGAAGGACATCGGGGTCAGCAGTTCCTCGACCTTCCCGCGCTTGGTGGTACGGCGCACTATGGGCGACGAATTCCAATCCGTGGACACGGTGACAGAATCTGGCTGTTGAGCCACTTGCCCAACAGTCAATCTGCGTGCTCTTGCCAGAGCCGTCGATGCCCTCAACGATGATCAGCTTCCCGGGAAACTTCCCATCGTCGTGATGACGTCCGTAGCACTCGCCCATCTTGTTACTCTTGGTTTCTTGCAAAACCGTCATGATTCACCTCTTTCGATCGAACGTCGTTCCAAGGCCTTCGCCATTTATTTTGCAAATGCGGGCGCCGACACCGGGACCAGCTCGGTGGTGACAATCTGCCACCCGTCGCCGCACGAGCAACCTGCAACGCATTCGCTGGCATCGCCGGCGCCATGCGCTATCTACACTCGTCGGCCACAACCAGTACACCGCCGCCTGTTCCAACAACGCAACTCTTCAGGGCCGCAGCAATCTGCTCTCGCGAAACCTCCGCGGCAACCGTCCCGTTTCCGCGAGGAGGATATGGCCGCGATCTGGTCCGATTCCGCGTGCGTGAACCCGGAGTCGGTTCGCACATATTATACTCTCGCAGTCCGGTTGAGCGATTGTAGTAGTCTACCGGCGTTCCGATGTCCAGGAGCCGTGCGGCGCACTCCAAGAATTCGCGATTTGCCGGTTCCATCCACCCCACACCGCTCGGCGATCCGTCCGGCCAACTCGGCCCGTCGTTCGCCCCGACACGAGACACCGGCCGGCGAACCGTCCCACGAGGTCTGTCATCGATTCCGCCCGCACCGACGCGAGCGCGGCAACTGCACGCCGACGCACGTTGACGGAGGCTCCGGTTGCCCGGCCAGTCCTTCGCGCAATCCCTGGCCCGAGACCAGCAGCGCTCGATCCTAGTGCTGAGCATCATCGCGTGTGCCACCACGCCGCCGCCGAGATCGAATGGCTGCGCTCCGGGTTCATGCCGGGTATTTCGGACCGTTCCGCCCGGGTCATCGCCGACATCAGCTCGATTTCTCTCATCCAGTGCGCACCTGACCGGATCTCGTACCCGTGGAGCTTGATGATGGGATAGGGCTCCTTTCTCGCTCCAGGCGCGACAGCAGCCGCACCGACCCGCCCGAGCCGACCAGCACGGCGCCGTCTTCCGATGCCTCTACTCCAGCCTCGGTTGAGAACGGTTCGGACGTGCTCATAGGCCGCCCGCATCGCCTCCGCAGTCGGGCAGTCCGTCAACTCGAACTGGTTTGCAATACGCAGGCTGCCCAGCGCAGCGACGCGCTGGACACCAGCCGTCGATCACGAAACTGCACCACCTCGTGCTGCCTCCGCCGATGTCGCCAGCAAGCCATCGCGCACACGAAGGCGTGAATGGCGCCCACGACAGCAGTAGCCGGCCTCGTCGGACCCGTCATGATCTCCAACGGTATGCCGAACCGTTCCTGGGATGCGGTCGTGATCGTGCTGGCATGCCCGACTCGCGCAGCGGCCGCCGTCCCACGGCGTGGATGGTCTCGATGCCGTAGCCCCGCGCCACCAGCGCAAAATCCTCCAGCGCGTCCAGCGTGTTCGCAACCCCCCGTTCGTCAAGGTAGCCGTCGGATCGCACCGTAGCTCATCAGGTTTAGCGTGACGCTCCGCTGCGCCACAATCTCGACGCCGCCACCGCGGTTCACCTGCATCACCACTGCCCGCGCGGAAACCCGACCGATGTCGATCACCGCGGCGTAATCGGGGACAATTGGAGTCTCGCGCGCCGCCCGATTCGTAGCCGGAATCGACAACCGTCGCAACTTCCCCCTCGCTCGGTGGACACATCCGAGAGGTCACGGTCCGGTAGGTCGTCATCTGATCCTCAATTCTGCCCATTATGATGCCGGGTGGCGATGCTATAATCCGGCCCTGTGGTCCAATGCACATTGCGGGAGGTGGTTTCCATGCCCAGGTGGAAGGCAAAATCGCCATCGTCACCGGCGCAGCGCGCGGCATGGGCGAGGGTCGAAGCCCGCCTCTTTGCAGAGGAAGGCGCCACGGTGGTCGTTGCGACGTCACTGACGATACCGGGCAGCGCGTGGCCGACGACATCGTTTCCAACGGCGGCAGCGCCGAATACGCCCATCTCAACGTGACCGACGAGGACAACTGGCGGCAGGTCATCGCCGACGCGGTCGAGCAGGCACGGCAGGCTGGACATCCTGGTCAAACAACGCGGGCATCTCCGGCTACGATGAGGAGGACAACCTGGGAACCACCACCTGGGACCCGCCTCATGAACATCAACGCCAAGGGTGTGTTCCTCGGCATGAACATGCTATCGGGGCCATCGGAACAGCGTGACGGTGGCTGCATCGTCAACATATCGTCCATCTCCGGCATCGTGGGCCAGGACTTCATCCACATGGGCTACAACGCTTCGAAAGGGGCGGTGCGCCTGATGACCAAATCCGCGGCCGTGCGCTGGGCGAGGCCGGCATCCGGGTCAATTCGGTCCATCCCGGCCTGATGCCGCCTATGGCTGGTGGTTCCGCCGTTTCCGAGACCCGCGACGTTCATGACCGCCAACATCCCGATGAAGCGAACCGGACAGCCGGGAAGAGGTGGCCTACGCGGTACTGTTCCTGGCCAGCGACGAAGCGTCCTACATCCACCGGGGCGGAGCTCGTGGGTCGACGGCGGCTTCAACCGCCCAGTAGTTTGCATTGGCGGCGGCTCCAACTCGCGGACCGCGCTGCGGCAACAATAAAGCCCGTATGGCAAAACGCCTACGGGCTTTCTGATCGCTGACGATGCCATCGGCTATCGTCCTACGCCATCTCTTCGATTTCGGCTTCCAGCCTTTCGATATCCGCCTCGTCCAGGCTGAAATATTTGGCCTGCGGGTGATGGAACACCACGGCCGACACCGAGCCTTCCGGGTCCATCATGTATCCATCCGTGAGCTCAACCCCGATGCTTGCGGTCACGTCCAGCAATGAGAACAGCTTCTCCTGGTCCTCCAGCCGCGGACACGCCGGGTACCCGAACGAAAAACCGCTTGCCATGGTAGTTAGCCCGGAACAGGTCCCGAAGCTCGTCACTCGCCGTTGACCTTCAGGCCCGACGGTTCGCCGATGCTCCACATGGTGCGGATCCGCTTGTGGAGCAACTCGCAAAACCCTCCGCCGATTCGATGGCCAGGGCTTGCAACGTGTGCGAATCCAGGTACCTGCCCTCGTTCTTCCACCGTTCTGACAATGCCCGTACCCCCGGTCCGACGGTGGTCGTAAACATGGCAAGGTAGTCGTTCGCACCCTCGCCGGTCGGCCGCGCGTAGTCGGCCAGGCAAAGTCCCTCGCGTTCTGCTGCTGCCGGCCAAAGTAGAACCGTTCCAGCTCAGCCTTGCCGTCCGCTCGTATACGATCAGCCACTGCCTTCGGAGCGGCACGGGAAAACTTGAATACCGCGCTGGCGCCGATGTCCGAGCGGGAGAGCATCATGTCCTCAACCCGTGCACCTGTGACGCAGTTCAACGGCTTTGGGTTCTTCTGCCCGCAGTGCATCCCAGAAACGACCCCCGGTACCCAGGTGCCGCACGTAAAGCATCTGCGGGTTGATGTAACCCGAAAATCTCGTCGAGATCGAAATCCTCCAGCACGTGGAGCCGCAGATCACGGTGCCGCGGGGAGGATCTACCGGAATGACGCTGGTCGTTTGTCGCGGCGTCACGCACGGGCGGGCTGCCGCCTCCTGCAGCTCGGCGCTCTCCGTCTCCAACCGAGCGAGCAAACGCTCACGCTCATCGGCGTCCTGGATGGTATTGGCCACGCGCGAGTCCGCTCATGGCGTCCGGCGAATACGCCACCAGTCCGCCGTATTCCGGCGCGATCCGCAGCCGGGTGAAACGGTTGGACAGGGCAGCGCCGCCAACCAGGACCGGGGCGCGAGCGATGCCGGCCGCGCGGAAGTCCTGCACCGTCTCGACCATCATCTGCGCCGATTTCACCAGCAAGCCCGACAGGCCGATGATGTCCGGTTGGTGTTCCGGTAGCCCGCGATCAGTTCCTGCGCCGCAACCTTGATCCCAGGTTGATCACGCTGTAGCCGTTGTTGACAGGATGATCTCGACCAGGTTCTTGCCGATGTCGTGCACGTCGCCTGACGGTCGCCAACAGGATCGTCCCCGCAGCGCGGCCGTCCGTGCGCTCCATGTGCGGTTCCAGGTGAGCTACCGCGAATTCATCGCTTCGGCGCTCTGCAACACTCGGCGACGATCAGCTGGTTCGCGTTGAACTGACGCCCCGACTTCATCCATTCCCGCCATCAGGGGCCCGTGTGATGATCGCCAATGGCACCCGTTCCTGCAGCGCCAGATCCAAGTCGGCGGCCAAGCTTCCTTGCTGCCCTCAATGATGCACTGCGCCAGGCGTTCGTCCAACGGCAGCGCCAACCGCTCTTCGCAGTGGCGCGCGGCGCCCGGTCGCGGAACAGTGCGCCGCAAACGCGGCCACCGGATCCTCACCGCGATTCCAGATCAGGTCTTCAGACAGTGTGCGTTCTTCCTCGGGAATACTGGCGTACCGCTGCATCATTTCGGAATTGACGATGGCCATATCGAGGCCGTCCTGCGTGCAGTGGGTACAGGAACACGGAGTTGAAAACCTCGCGACCCGCGCCGGCAGCCCCGAAAGAAACGTTGGAGACGCCAAGCACCGTTTGGTCTGGGCAAGCCTCCTGATATCCTCACGCCCTCGATGGTTTCCGCCGCTGAACCGACGTAGTTCACGTCTCCGGTTCCAGCTGGAAACACAACGGATCAAGATGATGTCTTCTCCGCCACTCCGTAAATTCTCGGTCAACAGCCGGTGAGACCGCTGGGCAATCTCCAGCTCCGCTCACGCGTGATCGCCTGTGCCTGGTTGGGGTCGTCGTATGCAGCCCACCACCAGCGCCGCGCGCCGTATCGTCGCGCGCCAACGGCACGACCCGCTGAAAGCGCTCCTCGCCGTCCTCGAGGTTGATCGAGTTGATGATCGACTTCCCCTGCAAACGTTTCAGCGACTCTTCGATAACCGACGCATCAGTCGAGTCAATCATGATGGGCGCCTTGACCCGGCGATTGAGCTGGTCAAGGAACTTGACCACGTCCGACGTTTCGTCCCGGTCCGGGTCCTGCAGGCACACGTCCAGGATGTGCGCTCCGTTGCGGACCTGCCGCCGGCCGACCTCGGCCGCTTCCTCGAACCGTTCGCCCGCAATCAGCCGTTTGAACCGCCGGCTGCCCAGCACGTTGGTGCGTTCCCCGACGATGGTCGGCCTCGTGTCCTCGTTTACCACCACGGCTTCGATGCCCGACACCCGCGTTTCTTACCGTCGGTTCGGTCAACCGCGGCGTCTTGTCGGACATTGCTTCGACAGCCGACCGAATATGCTCGGGGCCGGTGCCGCAGCAACCTCGGTCACGTTGATCCAGCCATTCGCCGCGAACCGTTCCAGTGTGGCCGCCAGCATCTCCGGCGTCTCGTTGTAGTGCCGTCCTCGTCGGGCAGACCCGCGTTGGGCACGCAGGCGATCCCGAACCGCGACAACTCGTTCAACGTCCGGATGTGGTCCGTCATGAACTCCGGCCCGGTGGCGCAGTTGAAGCCCACCCAGAGCAGGTTCCGGTGGGCCAGGGAGGTGTAAAACGCCTCGGCGTCCTGGCCGGCCAGAAGCGTGCCCATGGGCTCGACGGTTCCCTGCACGGCTGCCGGAACGTCAACGTTCATCTCGGCCCGGGCGCGATCTATTCCTTCCAGCCCCGCCTTGATGTTGATCGTGTCCTGGCCCGTTTCGAGCACCAGCACGTCGGCGCCGCCCTCGATGAGTCCAGCCGCCTGCTGGTGGTAATCGGCCGCCAGCTCGTCAAAGGTCAGGCCACCCGTCACCGAGATGGTCCGCGTCGTCGGACCCATCGCGCCGTACACAAAACGCGGCTTGTCCGGGTCAGCGGCCGTTGCCTCATCAGCCGCCCGCCTGGCGATGCCCGCGGCCTCACGGTTGATCCGGCGCGCTTCGGGAGCGAGGCTGTACTCGCCCAGCACCAGCGCGGTTGCGCCGAAGGTGTTGGTCTGTATGATATCAGCGCCGGCATCCAGGTAGCCGCGGTGGATGTCGTGGATCACGTCGGGGCGCGTTATGTTGAGGTATTCGTTACACCCTTCGTACTCCTCTCCGCCAAAATCATCCGGTCCAAGGTCCCTCGCCTGGATCTGGGTTCCCATCGCGCCGTCGGTGATCAAAATGCGCCGGCGAAGCAGCGATTCCAGTTCTCTAATTCGTTCTTCAGAGTTCATAATTTCTTTGCCATTTGTTCCGTAAATCACAATCAAGGCTAACCCCATTCGGTAAACGTGTCAAACTGGAACCGACCCAAAACCGGCCGCTCGACACTCCGGAATCCGTCAGGAGAAGCTCCCAATGAGCCCTCAGGAAGTCGTTTCGCAAGCTCCCCGCCTCGCTGCATTCATCGCCTCTTCCGCCATCAACGTGCCGACTGCGGAAACCTCGCGTGACCGTGCACGAGGCGTGCTGCTCGGTCTCGCCGTCGGCAATCTGTTGGGCCTGCCCGTCGAGGGCGCCCCTTACGATCACATCGCAGATTCGCACCCCAACGGCCTTACCGAGATCGACCCGCGCGAAGCCAACCGACCCCTGGACGACGACCTCGCCCAGGCCGTCGATTTGGGAGATGCGCTGCTGGGCAATGTTGACTACGCCCGCGACTTCGCTGACCGCCTGATCGATTGGGCGCTCGACAACGGCCGCGGCATGGGCATCACCACGGGTGAGGTGATCGACGAATTGGCAACCGGTAAGCCGCTCCCGGAACCCGCCCGTTTGGTGTTTGAACTCAGAGACCGCATCGCACCCAACGGCGGCGTGATGCGTTGCGCCCCGGTGGCCATCGCCCGCCGCAACAATCCAAATCTTCTGATTACGGATTCCGCGCTCACCTGCGTGGTGACCCACTACGCCCCGGCTTGCCAGTGGTCATGCATCATCGTGAACGCGACCATCGCCGTTCTGCTCAACGGAGGGGGAGCCGAACCTCGCGGAACTGATGCGCGCGGTCTACGCCGACGGCTGTCCCGATCTCCAGGCAATCGCCCACATCGACCGCATTCCCGCAGCCGTCCTGGACGCCATCGCCGACGGCGAACCCCCGCCCGCCGGCATCGACTGGTTATTGTGCGACCACCGGCTCATCGGACACACGCTGCTGGCCCTGCAGGTGGGCCTGTGGGCCGCGGTAACGCCTTTGGACTTTCAACACGCCCTCATCGCGTCGGTAGCCGCCGGCGGCGACACCGACACCAACGCGGCCGTCGCCGGGGCCGTGCTCGGCGCGCGTTACGGCGCTTCGAACTTCCCGGAGCGTTGGCTTGCCTGCGTCCCCCAACGCGAACGCATCGAACGCTTGGCCGACGATCTGCTGGCTATGTCAGGAGCCTAGCCGAAATATAGCGCCAGTTCATCGCGGTTCCGGTCCAGCCAGGCCACGTTCAGCGCAATGCGCTCCAACGCCTGCCGGATCGTGCGCTCCGCCGCCGGCGTGGGGTGTGCTTCGAAGAACCTTTCCACATCCTCCCGCATCGCGTTGGTCGTGAACAAGTTCGTGATGCCGACCAGTCGCATCAGCCCGAAGCCTCCGCCTCCGTACCGGCGGGTCGAACTCGTCCCACTGCTCCTTCAGGAACTCCCAGGCCAGGCTGCGGCCCCGGTTGTTGGCCGCCACGGCGGATACCACGAATATGGTGTCCTGCAACCGCACGTCGTCGGTGAGCGACCGGTCCAGCGTCTCCCGCAGCAGATCCTCCTGCTGGAACCGCGCAATCGAAATCAGGAACCGGATCTTCTCCTCGTGCAATTCCGCTGCCCGCTCCAGGTCCCACATGCGTTCGTAGACGGCCCGGTCACCGGCCTGTGCAACCAGGCTGAATACCACGCCGCGCAGGTCCGGTCGCACGTTCGAGGGATCGTTTTGGTACGCCGCGAAGAGTTCCTGGGCCTGCGCGACAACGTCCGGGTCCCCGTATACCCCGGCCTGGCTGAGCACGGTGGACCGGGTCAACGCATCCAGGTGTCCTTCCCCCGGCCGCGCGTCCCAGCCCGACCGTTGCGCCGCCGGACCGAATAGTCGTCGGCCAAAGGCGTGGTAGGCCCCCAGGTACGACTCCCCGGCGATCAGGCTTTCGATCTCTCGCAGGTTGGTCGCCAGGTCGCTCCAGACCGACGCATCGGTCTCATCCTGGTAGGACTCCGCCAACGCCAGGAATCGCGTTACCGGCAGCAACCCCGCGCGGGACAGTGCGAACGCATCGTTCTGGATCCCCAGCCGGTCGGTCGCCGGCAGTCCCCGGTTGGCCACCACCGTAGCCAGCCTTTCCCGGTCCGCGTCCGTATAGTTCACCCGATAGAAACCGGTCTGGTCCGGGTTGACCTTGAACCATTCGGGTTGCCCGGGAGCCGCCACCTGCACTGTGTCCGTGGCCCCGCTCACCAGGTGCGCCGTGACGGGCGCCCCGGCGGCCGTAACCGTCAATGGCACCGGCCACACCTGTTCCTCGTCGTCCCCCGCGTCTTCGCCCAACACCGAGTCAAAGACGAACCTCTCCTGCCGGATTTCCAACGTCAGCCCGTTGGCATTGCTGGTCGCCGCCACATCCAGCACAGGATATCCGGTTTGACCCGTCCAACTGCTCATGATGGAGTTGACCGGCTCCCCGGAAGATTCTTCCAGCGCCGTCCACAGGTCGGTGGTCCGGGCGTTTTGATACGAGTGTCGGGTCAAATAGGCGTTCAGCCCGATACGGAACACGTTGGGCGTCAGGAAATGCTCCAGCATCCGCAACACCGACCCACCCTTGCTGTAGCTGATCGCGTCAAAGAGCTGGCTGACCTCTGCCGGATTGGCCACTTCCTGTTCGATCGGATGCGAATTCTTCAGGCCGTCCAGGCTGAACGCCCGGTTGGTGTCCATGTTCACGAACTGCGTCCACATCGACCATTCCGGGAACAGCCAGTCCACCGCTTTGGTGCCCACCCACGTGGCGAAACTCTCGTTGAGCCACAGATCGTCCCACCACTCCATGGTCACCAGGTCGCCGAACCACATGTGGGCCATCTCGTGCGCCACCACTTCCGCCACCCTCTGCCGAGTGCCCGCCGACGAGTTTGCCGGGTCGACCAGCAGCGCGGTCTCGCGGTACGTCACGCAACCCCAGTTTTCCATCGCGCCAGCCGCGAAGTCCGGTATCGCGAGATGGTCCAGTTTGGGCAGCGGATACGGTATGCCGAAATAGTCGTTGAAGAAGGAGAGCAGTTTGACCGACGTGTCCAGCGCGAACTGTCCCTGCTCCTCCTTGCCCCTGGTCATCCACACTCCCACCAACGTACCGTCGGCCGCCTCTTTCTCGATGTGCGTCAGGTCACCGATCACGTAGGCCAGGAGGTAGGTGGACATCACCGGGGTCTTGTCGAAACAACAGGGTCTTGCGGCCGTTGCCGCTGCGGCTGTCGTGGATGATCGGTGTATTGGAAACGGCCTCCATCTCCTCCGGCACGTCCAGCGTGACCTGGAAGGTGGCCTTGGCCGCCGGTTCGTCCCAGCACGGCAGGGATCGTCGCGCGTCCGTAGCCTCAAATTGTGTGGTGGCCAGGTAGGCCGTCTCGCCCTCGGGGTTCAGGTACTGGCTGCGGTAAAACCCTCGCAACTTGTCGTTGAGTTCGCCCGTGAACGACATCCGCAGGTGATGGTTGCCCACCAACCCATCAGCCGGTGTGCCGGCAATGCTGATCGTCGCGGTTTCCGCGTCGGCATCGTAGGCGATGTCGCTGGCCGGCTGTTCCTGCTCGCCATCCGTGTCCGTCCAGCTGACGGTGGCCGAATGTATCTCGATCTCCGAGCAATTGAGCATGATCTCGGTGGTGCCGGGTTCCATGCTCACCGTGATGTCGACCTCGCCGGCGAAGGTGAAATCGTCGAAATTCGGGGTAAGCGTCAGGTCATAGTGGATGGGACGAACGTTGTCGGGGAGCACAACAGCTTCGGCGGATGGCATCGAATTTCCTCCGTGATTTTGCGTTCAAAAAAGGGGACGCGCCAAGTTTATCACAAGGGTTGTCGCCCCTTGTGAGCCCACCGCAATTGCGAAATAATGAGCGGCGGTCAATCAGGCTTTCATGATCGGTTGACTATATATTTTTTCGATTCCAAAACACTTTCGATGGGTGCGTTAATATTTGGTTGACGCACGCATAATTGGAGCGAATGACACATGTTCGCTGAAGGTTTGTCGTTTCTCGGGCTTGCTGAGTTATTCAGCGTCTCCGGGGCCTCGGCCGAACTCCGCGGATCGCTGCTGGCCCTGGGAACCCTGATCGTCGCTGCCAAGTTGGCGGAAGGTGTTTTCCGTCGGCTGCGCCTGAACGCCATCGTGGCTTACGCGGCGACCGGCATAGTCTTGGGTCCAATCCTGAATCTGACCGGGCTATGGCACATCGAGTCGACGCTGCACATCCAGTTATTGTTGAAGCTCGGCGTGTTCCTATTCTTCTTCCTCATTGGCCTCGATGAGATCGACATTTCAAGCTTTATGTCCAGCCTGAAGGGCCACTATTTCCTGGCGGCGATCCTCTCGGTAGTCCTGTCACTGGGCATTTCGATGCTGGTCACCACCGACCTCGTCTTCGATTTTCGGCCTGAGCCTGGCTTTTTCGGAGGCGCTCGCCCTGGCCGGCGTTCTGTCCATGACCAGCCTCGGCATCGTGGTCAAAGTCTTGGCGGACGATGGCCGGCTGAAAGAGCCGGTCGGCTTGCAGATTTTCACCGTCGTGGTCATCGCCGAGCTGATCACGCTCCTGCTGATCGGCTTCAGCATCGGCGATCACGTTCATGACCTGACCCCAACCGGAATACTGGTGCTGCTGGGAAAGGTTGCCGGATTTGCGGTCGTGTCCTGGATACTGTCCTTCAAGGTCCTGCCTCCTGTGGTTGGGCTGCTCCAGCGCGTTATTCATGTGCCGCAACTCTCGTTGGGTTTGCTCCTGGGGATCCTGTTTGTGATCGTGGCCGCCGCCGAACTCATGGGACTGCACGGCTCCCTGGGCGCGTTGCTGTTCGGGGCCGCCCTGGCCGGTTTGCCCTACCAGGTGCGCCGCGAGATCACTCCAGGTTTGCGCAGCGTCGCCGAAGGGTTCTTCGTCCCGCTGTTCTTTGCCT